GACAAATACATTCAGAATAATAAACGGGGTAACCGAGCTAAACAACTGGTTTGGCCTGAACTTAGGATTGGCTGAGATTTTGGGCTAATACACCCTCAGGCACACAGCTGACGGGTTTAGCTATTATTTAAAGATTAGACCGGGCAAGAAAAGACTAATAACCGGCACCCCGGATAAAGATTTGCACAATGACGACTTCTTTTGGGATCTGGGAATTATGAGACGGCTGATGTGCCCAACTGTTACATCAGCAAGAACTTCGGTTTGACATGTAAGTCGTGCTCACTGGACGGTCAAATTACTTTCCTTTACTATTTTGTACTAATTGCTCTTTTCATTACAGCTATCGAAGCCTTGCAAGTAAATTACTTCAACCCAAACGAGGCTGTCATCAGAACCGTGTTGCGGTATCGTCACCGAGATTGCCACGACCTTCTCGGTTACGTACTGAGCTATAGATACTCGGCTCCCTACAAAAGTAGAGTCACAGACTTTCTGCGAGCCCCATCCCTAACGCCTGATCCAACACTGCCGGACGTGCCCCTAATCCAGCTAACAAAGGAAGAGGAAATGGCCAAACGGAGCCATATCAAGAATTTCATCACCGCTACATCCACCGAGTTGCCGAATATGCCATCCGGCGCCTCTAATGCCGGTCAAACATCTAGGACCGTGATCGCATTGGCGTCGACCACTATGGCGCAAACCAGCAAGGAAAGTCGCCAAGCCAAAAAAAGGCCTCGGTGCGCCGATCCAATAGCCAAGCTTGTTGCAGAGCTCAGCACTGAGCAAACAGCGGAGGCATCTGAGCCAACGCCCCCTTGGCAGCCACAATTGAAGCACTGGGGTAAGGAGATCCCGACCAACGCCTCAATCAAAGGCGATAAAGAACATCTCCTGACTTTTGACCTGACAAAAGCATTACTCCTACCGAGTGATGTGATTGGTAGCGACCACGTACCCAAAACCCGGCTCGTGAAGTCCTCGGTGAAATCTATGACCCGGGTAAGAACTTCGCACGTTTATTCAAATTTGTTTAAGTGTTTTCA